GATGACTTGAGAGAGATTACTAAGCACAAATCGGTTATGAACTCCAAGAACACTTGTTGTCTCCCGATTTTAACCATGGGGTTATGTATATATATGTAGGAATCCAAGAGTCATGGGTAACCCCTAATCCATACTCTTTGGATTATGATCCATATTCCATGTGGGCTAACTCTTCATGGAAACTTACATAAGCTTAGTCCATCATGGATCAATAGCCCAAACCATATATATATATATATATATATATATATATATATATATATATATATATATATATATATATATATATATATATCGTTGATTTACATAATCAGTCCTCGTTAATTTAATTAGTCTCTTTTGATCACATAATTAATTCCAAATTAATTATTGATCAACACTAATTAAATAATATGATTTCATATTAATATATTAGAACTTATAATATATTAATAAATTATAAGTAACCTCTTACTCAAGTATCCATCCTATCAAATTGTCCTAGTGATATGCAACCCGAAATGGATCATACTACTCTATGGTCAAGTACATACCAATTATAGTTATGGGCTTAGACAGCTAATCCAACAGTCTCCCACTTGGATAAGTCTAATAACTATTACTGCAAGTACGACTCTACAACCCGGCTAGCAATCGTAGCTCTTAAAAGTTGTTGTCGAACTCTGACCTAGTCAATGACACGTCCATTAGATAAGGGATCATATATTCCTCCATTATAGATATCGTATGAACTGATACATGGAGTGTAATCATTCTCTCTGTTCATGTGTTATTTCCCGATTTCCGATTTAAGACAACTGACTAACTGAACAAATCAAATTAGTCCAGACTTGGTCAAACACTTAGGTTTGTCATCACTAAATCATTGATAGGCCCACAAATATCACTTTTATCCCTCTAAGGCAAAAAGGAATTTATAACATTTAACTCCTTGCCCTAAAACTCAGATAAATTATTACGGATTTAAGATTAAAGAGAAATATAAAAATAAATCTCGAGGTTTTTGGGTTTATTATTTATTAATTAATTTATTTATTAATTTTATTTAAAGGGGATGTTACAATTGTTTACAATATTTTCTTACTTTTTTATAATTTTCTTTTTTTTTTATGTTCTTTAAAATTAATTTTTTTTTAAAAAAAAAACTCATAGCTTGTTTTCCAATTATGTAGATTTTTTTAGAAATTTTATGTTTTTTACATGTTCTTTTTAGTATTCTTTCAATGTTTTATGACTAGAATTATTAAATTTCGGTGTTGAGAACTATTTTTAGTTTGTAAAATCAGTTTATTTAAATTTTACTTTATTGCAACATTTTAAAGATATTAGAAAACAACAAGCATCATATTATAAGTTGTAGCCGTTTGGTCCACATGTTCTGCTGCAGAGTGTTGTAGAGGTGGTCCACAAACTTCATGAATTTTCTCTTCAAAAAAATAAACAACACCTAAGACTTAGTGATATTTATACCTAGGTCTTTTGGAAGGAAAAACTAAGGTGTTAGGCAAAGCTCTGCCCTAATTGCAAGTCATCCACTTCTAACAAGTAAGTTCATAGTTACTTTCATCTTATACATATATATGTAGTATGTAACTGTTTAAATGCTATTTTTGCCTATTATCTGTATTTACAATACTATATGGCTTACTGGGTTAAATTATATTTTGATAAATTATTAATCTATTTATTTTATCATACCTAAAAGCATATTGGGTAGTGAAGGGTTATGTAAAGTAAAATATGATGTGAGGTTGTAGCCAACATTGTACGGTTATATTATTAGGGATTAGTCATATAATAGGATATAGAGGACGACCACAGAGTATTCTAGACAAGTCTGGTGGAAAATGGACAAGTTTGCAACCTGAAGGTGTTTATAAGCCATACACGGGCAAGTTTACAACATGTATGTGTTAATCAATTATACATGGGTAGGTCTTCGACCTGTAGATGTTAAACGGACCATACACAGACAAGTGTTCGAACTGTAGGTGATAAATGAACCACACATAGGCAGGTCTACAACCTTTAGATGTTAATAAACTATACATTCATACGGGTACTTTATTTACTCCATGGTTGCCTTATTGATATATATTTCTAAGGAATCCCCTAAACAGTATTACCTACTCAATGATCCTTTAGGATAGGTCCCACATAATCATCATCTTATGATCCAGGAGTGAGAATAACGGGAATGGGTAATCGGGTTATTCGTTTGACGGGATATATATATATATATATATATATATATATATATATATATATATATATATATATATATATATATAAGCTATATTATTATGGATTGAAAATCCTATGTGCTCGTCAGGCTCCTAAGCCTGCCCCACTCAATTTCCTTGGATCACAGGTAACAGTACGAAGATTCGGAGATGTTAACGTTTGAATATGCCAAGAGATTTAAGGAGTTTTAGGCCATTAAATAAATTGAGGTAAGGCATGTAGAGACTATCTCATGCTTATGTTTTTGTATCCGTTATGACATCCCAAGCTTTCAAATGTTAATGAAGAATTTTTTTTCGGAAATGTTTTGATATTTATATCATTTCACATTAATAACATTTTGGGACAAATTCCACACTAATGAAAGAATATCTGTTTTAAATAAGCATAAAGAAAAAAAATTAATTGGACATAAATTTGGGGAGGTCACATTGTGTGTAGGTTGTTGTTATGTTGTTATGATTTGTTTGTATGGTAGATCTATTATGATTACATGTGTTTGTTGGTTATTGTTTCTTTGTTTGCATATGTCGACATATTGTGGTTGGGTTGAGGTGGTTCTTCTATATGTTGTAGGCCAAGATACCTGGGTGGTCCAATTGATATCATAGGCCCAATAAGAGTGGTCCAGCTCCGTGTTGTAGGCTCAAGAGAGCGGTCCAGGTGTATTGTAGGCCTTGCAAGGCGTTCCATTCATATTGAAGGATCATGTGTGCATGCATTGTATGTGTATTGTTGTATGGGGTATTTTGGAAAGCTCACTAAGCTTTAGCTTACATTTGTGGATTTAAATGTTTCAGGTAGTTTTGAGGATCGGCGGAAGCCAAAGGCGTAAGTGTACATATCATTTTGTAGATTTATGTGTGAGAGATTTATTTGATACTCTTATTTTATGATTATGTTTTGAAACAATGAATTAGATGACTTATGGGTTTTCTAAAAAAATCTTTTGAAAATGAAAAATGTTACTATGGTTTTTGGGATGTTACACTTCAGTCAGCTGCAAGGTGACGAGGTGGAGTTCCATTCTGCTAGTGATTGTGGATTCCCCCACTATTGCTTGAGATTAAGCAAGGTATTTTGTTCGGAAGTCAAGAACTGTTGTGAACTTATGACGGAGGTAAGGAAGATGAAGACAATGAACGGTAGGGGTGGGGTTAGAGTGAGAATTAAGAGAGAGGAAGAAGGATGAGGAATATATGTCTATGTGGCAAAGGTAGTTTGATTGTGGATTTCCCCAATTTTGACTTTAAAGTTTAATTTTGACCAAATATTTCTAGATTTTCCAAATCTTCAAACGATGATGTCAACAATTGTTTATGTGCCAAAGGGGTAACATGGTTACCCCTTCATTTTATTTAAAGTGACCAATTAGACCCGATAAAAACAATTTTATTCCCTTAAAAAACACAAAAATAAGTTATGGGACTAAATTGGCAAATTCGAAATGCATTGTTGGGTTAATGTATCATTTTTCCTTTACATAAAAAAATAAACATTTATACTTACAAAAATAAATAAATCAATAATATTATAATCTCTTTAAAAAAAATCAATAATACTATAAGGATGTTTTTTTGTTATCTTATGGAATTTATCAAATACTAAAAATGATGCATTTTTATGTTTTATCACTATATAATAATACCTTTTAGTCCAACGATAACATGAGTAGTTGGATATGTATATATCAATTAATGGTTAAGGGTTCAAGTTTCGTTATATACAAAAATTTTAGATTTATGAGTATAATAGTATGGGTTTGTGTAAATTGTTATAATAATAAGCAAACATAAGTCAATCTATTTTTTAATTGTATTTTATATCACATAAAAAAACTAATACATATTCTATTAAATAAAGAAAAAAAAACATATGTTATAAATAATAATCCCGAACACTTGATAATTTGACCATCATTCCCATGTCCCTTCCCTGTTTATTGTGTCCATGTACTTTTTCTTTGTATTATATATATGTACATATGTAATATTTTAAAAATAAATCGATCACAATCATTTAAGAAATGACAAGAGTTAGGTTGTATATTCTCACTCCATTTGGAGTAGTATGTTATGTCTTATTGAGTGTGCCAACATCACAATTTTTGTCACTATCAGGTTTACAGATAACATATTATTTCTTAATTCTTATTTTACACTTTTCTGTTAAACTGAAAATAAATAATTAATATATTAATCGTTAGGCTTATGATTGTTGCCCTCTATGATACAGATGTATGATTACATGGATGTGTATCGATAAAAACATACAATATTCATGTATAAAATAAAACTATTTATTTCTTTGTGATCTTTAGTCCATTTATATATCTATTTACATGATCAGCAAATCTTAGCTTTTTAGTTATTGTTATTTTCTATTTAGAAAAAAACAAAAATGACACACTGTCTCGTCATAAATGTAACGATTTTTTATGGTTAAATATAATTAAAAAAAATGTAACATAAACTTATATATAGTATTAAGTAATAATTTTATTTGCTTAAAAGTAGGTATTTTATGTCGATTAATTATTTTGTTATTTGGAAGCGAAAAGTATACAGTATACATAAACACGCCAAAACAACCCCCAACAAATTAACCATATTATAGCTGAGTGATAACGCGAGTTAAAAAAGGGTTCTTCCGAAACTCCCTTTACAAATCCAAGACTTTCCATTCCACCCCATCCATAACGCGTCTGATTCTAGCCGGTGCTCTACTCCCTGAGGCGGCCGAGAGAGAGAGAGAGAATGTGTTCCACTAAGCATAAGCAAAAGCATAGGAGCTCCTCCGCCGCGTACACCGTCGTCGACAAGGCCTCCTCCGCCGAGGAGGAAGACGGAGACTGGAGGCAAGAAGCAATCAACGGTGGATCTCTGAAGCTTGTAGACCTCGATACTGGATCCAATGGTTGGGCGTCCCCTCCCGGCGATCTATTCTCTCTCCGCGGCAGTAACTACTTCACCAAGAAGCAGAAGTGCCCCTCCGGTCCATGGCTCCTTCATCCTGCAGGTGTCGATTGGCTCCGTTCTGCATCTAAACTCGACCACGTCCTATCACGCGCCGACAACCGTGTGATGCACGCGCTTAGGAAGTCTCAGTGCGAAGGAAGCAACACTGCGAAGAGTTTCGTATTGGCCGTGAACTTACAGGTTCCAGGTAGGGATCATCATAGTGCTGTGTTCTACTTCGCAACAGGCGATCCGATTCCCTCCGGTTCACTTCTCTATCGTTTCATCCACGGCGACGACGCCTTCCGCAACCAGCGGTTTAAGATTGTGAACCGTATCGTCAAAGGGCCGTGGATCGTGAAAGCCACCGTCGGGAACTACTCCGCTTGCCTGCTCGGAAAAGCCCTGAATTGCCACTACCACAGCGGCCCGAATTACCTAGAGATTGACGTCGACATCGGTAGCTCGAAGGTCGCCACTGCGATTTTGCGTTTGGCGTTGGGATGCGTCACGGCTGTAACAATCGATATGGGGTTTGCAGTTGAAGCTCAGGAAGAAGAGGAATTACCGGAGAAGTTGTTTGGGGCAGTTAGGATATGTCAAATGGAGATGTCTTCTGCGACGTTCGTTGATACAGATACAGCAACAAATAGACCATTGATACAAACAGCTCACAGTAATCGTGTTCAAGCATCGGATCTGCAGGATGACGATGACGATGACGACGCGAATATTAATATTGAGAAATGAATAAAGGTAGTGAAAAAAGGGGTAAATTCTACGCAATTTTCGGGATCTCATATAGCGTAAGTAGTTTTCATGTTAATTGCGATGATCTATCATACCCTGCTTAAACATTTTTTTCGTGGGCGATTCTGGTGCTGTATAGATAATAATTTCAATAATAATAACTGTAACGTTTCTTGTTCAGATTCGATGATTTTTGTTGGTGCTAAAAGATGAGAATTTTGTTTCTGATATGTGTGTATGTTGTTTACTATACAAATAATCTTTCATCACATCTAAGCGCTCTCTATATTTGCTTCATCGTCTGAATCTTCAACAATTCTACTCTTCTTTCTGGGAATCAAACTGTCATCTTCATCAGAATCCTCTGCAGCAAATGGGGTACCTGTGTCAGGTAATAATGCATCATCTTCTTCACCATTTTCAGAGTCTTGTACCAAATCATTTTGAGCAGCAGCTTCATTAACTTCATCATGTTCCTGATCATTCCCATGTTCATGTTCTTGTTCTTGTTCTTGTGGGCCGGTTATTCTAAAATCTCTAGCAGTGCTACGTTTTGCATGCCTCAACAAGTTCATTTTGCAAGCTTTGCCAAGTAGAATCAGATACTTCTCATAATCTTCTATCTGAAATATCAAATCTGGGATGCATCTGTTCTCCCTTTTAATCTTGTTCAAAATTCCTTTACTTGCTCTACTACTGGCTTGTTGTTTCTGCAATCATTATATGTTTTAATTAAGTAAAAAACTAGATTGCAAATCACGAATACAAAGTTCAAAGTTCAAACCTGCTGCATTGTTTCCATGAAAATGTACAAAGGACCTGTTAGCTGCTTACAAGTCACTTCCACAAGCTTTTGAAACTTGAGACTTGGTAAAATCTGCTTGCAGCCTTTAGGTGCGATAAGAAACTTTGAAACCCTAGCTAAGTTCTTGTAGAATTTAGCAGCCAATCTCACTACATGTTCACCTTGGAGATCTGTAAATTTAGAGTGTATCAATCATACTATCGCTAAAAAGTTTACTTTTTTACAGAATTCAAGAAAGTAGATAAAGATTGAGTAATTTAATTTACCTTTGAGGTTCATCACCACAAAAGAAGATAACAGTTCCATGACAGCTTCAGCCCTATGGTACAGAGTCTCTTCTAATGTCAAATGTGACTTGTGTATCCCATTATCATCCATCTCTATCCCTTTATAAGCACTGGTGAAACATGTTTTCATCTTCATACTGATTCGATCCATGTCAGCAAGAACTGATTCAAGAAACTGTAGGATCGCTGATGATATAACAGTTTCTGTTGAATTGTTTATGATTCTGTATGTTTCTGATCCTGTTGTTTTTATCAACTCCAGTGCCATATCTTGAGCAACAGCCAAATCATTTGGAGCTTGAGTACATGATAGTGCTAGATTCACTACACTTTTTGCAATCTTCGTGTTTGCTATATTACTTGTTTCACAAATTCTTATTGCCCAATCACCAACAGTTTTACACCCAATAATCTTTGCAATATCACACAGCACCTGATAACATAACAGTATAATTCAAGTCAAAATCGTATATCTACAAGTAAAAACCATAAAAAGAATTATGATTTTACCTCAATTTCATGGAATAACTTTGCTTGAAGAAGCTTAGAGAACAGAGGTTTAACAATTTTTGTAATGAAGACTTCTTCCCTTTGAATGTCCAGTGGTTCATCCTCAACTAAAGAATCTGACAACATTTCTTCAATTTCTCTCATTTCCTCTGGGGTTTGAGAACAGATTGTTAGCAGTTCTTTCAAGCAAATTAGAGCCAAGAGAACGAGACCCTTTTTATCTTCTTCATCTTTTTTCCCTTTAGCTTCCTTTTTCTTTTGATCTGGTTGAATGAGCAACGTGATCACTTTCAACAATGGTGGACCTAGGATCTTTATATCACCATACATCAAACCCTTCAATGGATCATCTTTTGCCACATTGGAACAAGATTTGATCTTGCAAAAAGTGGCATTTAACACAAAATAGAACAGTTTAGAATGTTGGTTTGATGACTTGTAGAGTTGAAACAAGTGATGAATGCTTGATGTTGACATGAAAGTAGTTGTTTCTTTACACCACTTTGTGTTATCTGACTCGTTTTTATATGTTAGATCAGGAGCAGTAGACCGAGGTGTATCTTTTCTAGCACCATTGTTTTGTGTACATAAGGACTCATGTAGATCAACAAGATCAATCAACTCTTTCTCTAAATCAATCTTTATATCATTACTTGCCTTTTCCAATTCAGCAGCAAGTGTATTCAATATCACCTCAATAACACCCGACATAATCTTAGCACTATATTTGTACGTCTCTCCTTCTTGTGGTGTATCTAAACCTAACTGTCCTTCCAAATTTCCATTTCTTAGAAGCTTCCGGATTCTTGACAAAGCATTGGAAAACGACTCACCAGAAACTGTTCCTCCTGCCTGCTGAATGCTGATATTCAGTATTGACCATTGACACACCAATCCATATAATTAAATTCTGTTTTTAAAACTTTCATTTTTATAAATTGAATACCTCGTTTTCTTGCGTAAGTGAGAACCCGAAAGAAGCCCATGATTCAGATTTTTCTTGTGGCTGAAGTGAAAGAACCCATGAGACACACGATAAAAGATCATCAAGTGGTTCTACTATACAAGTTTTGTTATTCTCAGTCCTAATGCATCGGATTATATTAAGTTGACCATCCTGAAACCAAAAGCATAAAGTCAATCATGAAACGGAAACATAAATATATATTTAAAAAAAAATAAATGAATTATCTAAGAGTACTTACTTCTTTGTAAAACTGTAGAAAGTGAGGCCGCAGAAAATCAAAAACTTCCCCTGCTGTTAATGGATCAACCAGCACAAGCTTTACAAGTCCCTGGTATACAACCTCTTTCACTTTCCCCTACTTACAACAACAAAGCCTCAATAAGCACATGTACTTTTTTCTGGTGTGTGTGTGTGTGTGTGTTGGGGGTAGAATGTAGATATAAAGAAACCTGTTGATAGAGGCATCGTTGTAATAAACTACTGAGCTCTTTGAAAAGATCATTGCTAATTCCACGGGTTATTTGAGGTTGTTGACTGCTGCTAGCTTGGCTAGAGGATTCTTGATAAGAAGATGGCATATTTTGTTTTGATTTTTTGTCTGCAAGAATTAAGTCGATAATGGCTCCAGCTGCAGCTAAGCGGATTTGATCTTCTTGTCTGAACATAGCCTTGCGCACCACCAAGATTATGTAGTCCTGCCAAAGTTATGTACTCAATGGATTAATGATGTCCGATAAATGACCATTTTACCCTTCTGCTTAGATGGGGATCAAACCATGGGTTTGTGATGTTGAGGTGAAAGAGGGTAGGTAATAAAAGAAATGCATATACTTGCAACAACAAAGCCTCAATATGCACATGTACATTTTGCCCTGTCTAATGGTTTATTTATACCAAGTAAAAAATAACAATGCCATGTATTCATCCAAATTAAGTTATGTATGTCTCTATTGAAAAGAAACAAGCTCATAATCTAAATTATTATTATGTGATCAAATACATTCCTCGGATAATCATAGACTACAACCTTGAACCTTTTATTTGACTGAATAAATGGTTAGAAGAATGCAAACCTGAAGGTTATGACTGAACTTGATGAGTGGCACTAGAATGTTAATCAAATGGGAAGCAACTTTGCTGTGCATAAAACCAAAATAATCCAACAATTCCTTCAGATGTGACACATATTCTAACATGGGGTATGGGTAGTTCTGCACTAGGTTACCAAGTAACCTATCAAAAAATAAATAATAAAAAATAATCAAACACAAGATTATTTCAATCTGCATAAGAAAACATAAGATAGGCTTTTGAGTTTTGAATACCTTATGATTGCTAAACTTTGTTCAGGCTTAAGAGAAAGGATTCGAAATTTACATTGCTCGATAATCTGCAAAAAAAAAAAAATCTGCATTAAGATTTTATGTGAATGTTAGATTTTTGAATATTATTCTTTTGTTTATATTAACCTCATTTCTTGCCATGTCATGAACCTCAAATAAACTTTTTAGCATTTGAATACCAAGCTCTTGAGAACCCATAAGACCTGTGTTTCCAATTTCTTTATGGCTCATTTCCTCCCCTGATTCCAGAAACAAAAAGCCCAAGTGGACTATGCTAGGAACAATATGTTCTCTTCCATGATTACTCTCATTAACCTAAAGTTATTAACCAAAACACAACAAAATTATATGATTGCTGAAGAAAATTTGCAATAAAAAAGAGGTGAATTACAATTCTTAGCACTGCTTTCTCTGTCAATAGGGCATTTTGTAGATACTCCTCCTTTAAGTCATCAGGTAGCCATTTACAATGTCTGCACAAGTACATAGAACAGGCCACTGATAAGAACAGCAAAATGAATGTAACACACTAATAGGATGAAAATAAAATATGTAATCTTGAGGCATGTACCTTGAAAATTTGTAATCCTTATAAGCAGTGATAAGAGCTGTTTTCAGTGTTCCCATGGAGTTCTCCCTGTACCTTCTAATTCTTGCTATTGACAACAATAGCCCAACAACAAAATGATCAATCGCCTGAAGATTTGACCTCACAAGCCCCATAATTTCCTGTCCCAGTGAAGGATCTTGCTTTACAGCGAAATTGACATGCAACAGTACAGTCCCTTCAACTTCCCTGATGATATTAGAACTCGCCTTTTTAGAATGCATTTTGGTTCCAAAGAACATAACAATACCTTCAATTATTTCCCTTTTGTTAAACCCTTTTGAAGCCAAAACAAGTAACTGGTAAACTAATGAAGGAAGATCCTGCAGCTCAACACAATGCATATTGTCAAATACCTTCTGTGCAAACAGCTTACCTCTTCCCTTACCAACAAACTTGAACTCGTGAATGATAGAAACCAGTTTCACTAACAAAATCCTTGACCAATTACAATCTAGGATACGATCAAAGACCGCATCAA